CCTGAAGGGATCTCATAGATAAGTTTCCTGGCTTTTGTCCTCTCTGCTTACATGCCTGCTTCATCTTTAGGTTATGGCTGCTTCAGCCTAGTCTCACAGTGGCCTCCAGATCTAATCAAACAAATTTAAAAAAGCACATCTGGGGGGCTAACTTTGGTGTCTGCTCTTCATGACACAGGATGATGGAAGTGAATCATTCCTCAATTAAAAAAGATCTTTGTGATCCTCAGATAAAAGGTTGTTGATGCTCATTAGGCTGGAAGGAGCTATAAAACTGTTGCCACAGTGCAGTTAGTGGGCAAATGGAGAAAATGCAACTCATTGTTCCTCTTCCCCAGAATGCTCATCCATTGAAAATCACCCCACCATAAGGCTTATGGTACTTTAAGAGGTCATAAAGAACCTCAGAGTAGCAGCAGAGGATCTGTATAAGAAAAATACTGAACAGGATTGCTCTGCAAATTCCAGTTTGTTGAGATAAAAGCTGTCATGTGAAGTAACAGGATTTTATATCAAAACTGTTCAGTAAGGAATGAAGATCTCAAGATATTTTGATCAAGTTATGTATTATATAATTATCCAAAGACTCCTTTTGCATTCTGCAGGTATTCCCATCAAAAGCACCATGGACAACTCTTCTACAGTACAGTATGCAGGTTTAATGCACAACTTAATAATGAAGGCCAGGGGCACTGTGCGAGACATCGATCCCCAGAATGATCTCACATTCCTGCGGATTCGCTCCAAGAAAAATGAGATCATGGTTGCACCAGGTAAAATTAAAAGGAAAAAAAAGCTCTTTCTGAGCCTCTGGTAGAGTTGTCTCCAAATATAGCAGCAATAGGCAATCTATCTCTGTACCACAGTTTTTCTTCAAAAGATGCAGGTCAGAATGGGTTCTAAATGATCTTTCCAGATATAGGCCAAGCCTAACCATGCTTCATTTCAGAAAACAATGATGCAGTAGATGGCTTTTGGCCTGATCTATTTTGACAACTCTAATGTTAGTAATATTTGAGCAAATATCCTATGTAGTTTATTGATTTCACGTTTCTTCATGTTCAGCCTTTTCTTGTGCCTTTATTTCTTTGGCCTACTATATCTTGCTCCCTTTCTATACTCTATATAACTGTGCTTCCAAAAAGGAAATAGCATGTATGATCTGTTTTGTCCAGTATTGTTTTTTCCAGCTAGTAGTGTATTCGCAAAACCTCATGAAGAGTCCTTTTCAGCATGTGCCACTAACCAAGTTTCTTTTTAACTGATAATGCCAGGAAGGCACCTAATATTTTCTGCCTATAAAGCATGTGATATAATGTACCATGCTATGACACAGAAGAGTTATTTATGAGTTAACATTAACAACCAAATATTGAAAAATAATTGCTTTATATTTTTGCAGATAAGGACTATTTCCTGATTGTCATTCAGAATCCAACAGAATGAAAACTTCTCCAACTGACCTACATTCCTTCTACTTAAGTATATATTTTTATTTAATGCCTTTCAAAAGCTGATGGTAGTTCATTTTTGTCCATGATAATAATGTCTGAGAGAGATTCCTTTCTTGAAATATTGAAGATTCAAGAAGTCTGTTCAAATGACTCAAGTGTTACTCCATGGAGAAGACAAAAAATGAAATTAAAAAGATTAAAGGGTCAAAGATGGATAGGTTTCTTTAGCAGGTATATAACTAAATAAGTTTGTCCAAAGTACTTGTAACAACTAAATCAGTCTTCCCTTTTGTCTTCATTTTATTTTGCACTTACTTGTTTCTTTTGAAACAAATTAAAATAATCAAGGAAACCTTTGTGTGTTGATTTCAATAAAGATTTCTCATGCTTTTTCTCCTTGAATTTCATGCTAATTGCAGTATTCCTCTGACAAGCAATCTATTTACAGTATTTGGTGCAGCCTTTCAATCACACCCTTCCATTATTGTTTCCTGTTGTCAGTGGATATGGAAGACAATTTGTTGGTCATTAAGTCAACTACTGTAAAGTGAAGAAATCCTTTCTGTACAAGGTACACACACACAAAATGGAAGTGCCATGAAACTATAATAGTGCATTCCAGTAGGAAAGGGAACTCCAATCTGTTAGTCCCCGTACAGTTGGACAGACATCTTTAACCTCCAAAGATGAATAGCCCAGCCAAAAATTAAAATATGAGCTACATTCAACATACGTAGGCGGTCTTCCTCTTGCTTTATTTTCTATTCTATATTCCCCAGTATATGCCAGAGAGCAACCAAGTCTCCAGATCATATGTGAGGTACGAGCTCAGGAGAACGCTACTTAATATGTCCCCTATTAAAATTAGCAAACTTTTGATTTCTTAATACATGGCTATAGCAAGCCAATTCAGTCTAATACTGTTAGTAAAAATACAAAGTTCAAAGGAAGGTTTTTCTACAGTAGATGCATGATGCATGCATTTTTAATATAAAGTAGCTTCAACTGCATATTTTCTAACTCTCAATAAGGCATGAATATTGTACCTACAATCCCAATCAAACCAAACAATATTCAGTAATAAAAGGGGGCAGTTTAAGAATAGACTTAAGGCGATTTTATTTTCACTCATGTTTAATGAAGGTCTAGAGCTGCCTATCTTCTCCAAAAGTTGTAATTTTCAATGCGACAGAAGGCAAAACTGAAATCCATTATTCAAGACTAGCCGTATTAATGATGTGTGAACTAAATGGAAATGGAAGTGAAATTACAGTTAAGTGCAGCCCTAGCGATCTACCAAACAGTGGTGTGGCTGTTAGCCCTAAAAGCAGGTGCCTGTCTTTCCAGATTTATCCTGCAATTAGTGATGCTGCTGTGCAATCACTAGGTGGCTCCCTCCTCAAACAAGAGGCCTGCCAGCTTTCTAATTTCAGAGAAACTAGCAAACCCCATCCTCTAATTTTGCCAGCAGTAGGAAAAAACAGGGACAGAAAGTCAAGTCTCCTTCAAGTCAAGCTTAACTCCTGGTGACTTCATGGGCATCGTTTTCTTGGCAAAAGTTCTTAAATGATTTGTCACTGATGCCTTTTAAAATGTTTTTCAAATGTCCGATCTCATCTACAGCCTGGGTGTTTCCTGGAGAACTCCCATCCAAATACTCATCAGGCCCAGCCTTGCTTAGCTTCAGACCTGCTGAGGCTTACTAAGAAAAGGCAGCCTTGATCATTTTAGCTGCTCAAAACTTTGCCAAATCAAGAACTGTGTTTTTAACCAACCCAATTATTTTCCTGGAATATATAATACAGCTGCTGAAAAACTGAAGCCAAAATGGTAAATGGCACTGATTTGATCAGTTTGAAATGTCCATCTGGCAAGGTCATAGTTGTCACATTTCAAGTTACTACAGGTAGTCCTTGCTTAGCAATCACAATTGGGACCAGCGACTCAGTCGGGAAGGGGAAAATCACATGATCATGACTTAGGATTTTTTTACTTCCACCTCCCATACTGTATGGTGTTAACTCTGCTTGTCACAAGTGAAAATGTGCATTGGTTGCGAAGTACATGAATGGCAATCATGTGACTGGGATGCTGCAATGGTCATAAATGCGAGGATTGCTTGCAAAGTTATTTTTTGGCACCGTCATATCTTTGAACAGTTGCTGCACAAGGCAGTCGGTAAGCGAGGACTGTAGGTCATCAGGATTCATTTTTGTAAGAACGTTTTGAGAGTTACAAGAACAACCAACCAACCCTACATAGGCAATTCCCAACCTCTCTGGAATACCTTAAAGGAAGAAAGAAGTGAACAAAGGATAAAAGAAAGGGGTTGGAAATTCAGCTAAACTGATGTGTAGCACCAATGAGCTGTTGGATTGACCACTGAAAAGGCAGAAGGGATCTCAGCCTTTATTAGAAAGCAGAAAGCTAATTATATAAGGCAGTTGAAAGGCCTGCACTTTTCAAGCTCTTACAATGGTAGATGGTGTTTAGAAGAATTCAGCAAAGATTAATGTTTAATTTCTAAGCTATTAAGTGTTCTTGGCATAATTACTTTGCCTAATCTACCTCAGGTTGTTCTCAGAATAAAGGGGGGAGTAGCATTCTCAGTAGCTAGGGGCCATAAATATACTCAGTACATGTGAGAAGCTTCCCTTCAAAGCCAGAATCCGGGGTTCCACTTTGTTTTCTAATCACAAATATAAAGAACTCTTCCCCAGGATTCTGTGAAGAGAATATTCTGCCCATGCTCAATGACATGGGAGGGGGGAGTATATGCACAGGTATCAAGATGTTTACCTATCAGTCCAGAAACAGATGAAAGCTTTTGGATTCCTCCAAGCAGGACTTGGAAGGTCATCTTGGACTTAACTCGGCAAATCTGCAGCATTTTCAGTTAATCATAAGACAAACAGTCTATACATCAAATGCATGTGGTCCACCAAAGCTTATAGTGCAATAAATATGTTAATTTTTAAGGTGATGGTTCTGCTGCCATTGACCAGCTTTTCCAGTTTTGCTGCAATTCAATAACACCAAACTGAAAGCTGTTTGAACAAAGGGATTTGTTCAAAGAGAATTATTAATTATAATAAATGACTATGAATGAAACGAATAAACAGTGTCCTTTCTGGGATCATTTCTAGATGAACTCCTGGCAGTGCTTTTTATAGGTTTGTGTGCTACCCCTTATCTGCGGACATCTCCCCCTCCGGGGGGAGCGAATCTCCTGCCCGCCACCGCCAGCGAGAGCGCTAAGGGCGGCCCGGGGCTGAGGCCGGTGCGCCCGGCAACGAGGCCGCACTGCAGAAGGGGCGGGATCGCGCACCTCCCCTTTGAGGAGGTTGTGGGATGAAGTCACCGCCGCGCTGCCACCTTCGGGGATCGGGGTGGCTCATGCATCTGATTGGGAGCAGGCGGCGGTGGCGGACCGAGCAGGAGGAGGCG